AAATATTTATTATTAAAAGCGTAATAACATAATTTTATTTGCACGAATAGTTAGAGTTCCGGTCTCCAATGCACAAATGTCTTACATACAAAATTTATATTAAAAATATATACGTAACGTTTATGAATATTTCTGTTCTTCCTGCTCTGTCTCGATCGTTCTCAGCTTCGCAAAATTGTTGAGTAAGTACATCGACCTTGAATATTCTTTCGTGTCATTTTTTTTTTTTTTGCTACATCGATATATGTCGATGAAATCATTCGGTACGTTTTAAATCAATAAAATGCAGCGATCACTATCATTTTCTATAGTTTGCTCCTATTACGTCTGCCGGCAAGTACAGCTCTGATCGTCGTTGCATAACACCCGCAGCGGCGCACTGTCACGCACCATCGCGCGTTGGCGGAGCATACCTCGTGCACGCATGTCTGATAGTGTCTGCGCCGCGCGATGCGTTCGCGGTTTCCTCAAGAATCTCCGTGAGAATTCCTTGTTTACGCATATAAGCAGGGAAAGTTATTTTTTTTAATTAATTCGTTATTTAAATAAGAAGGAAAAAGAGCTACGAGCTTAAGACATAAAATGACAAACTGTATAAATAGTTACAAAATAAAATAAAACTATGTCATAAAATTAAAAACGTAAATTATAATTTGACAATCAGAAGGTGAACAAAACAAACGTTTCGATCCTTGTTGGATCATTTTCAATGTGACAAATAAATTAATGTGACAAATAAATTAATAATAGAGTTGTAACGTTAACGTTTGTTTTGTTCACCTTCTGATTGTCAAATTATAATTTACGTTTTTAATTTTATGACATAGTTTTATTTTATTTTTTAACTATTTATACAGTTTGTCATTTTATGTTTTAGGCTCGTAGTCCTTTTTCCTTTTTATTTATTTTGATTTATTGAGCCTTATTACTTTTATAATTCGTTATTTGTTATCAAAAAGTAACTAATTGCTATGACTACTCATTATCATTACGGTTACTTGATGGTTGCTCGTTATTATTGTTTGAAAAGTAAAGCCTGAGGCAGAATTGAAAAGCACAAGTAATAGGAATAAGGAATAATATATTTCAAAAAAACCGTATATTCTACTGTCTAAATTTCTTGAAGTAAAATCTCAGTTTAAAAGAATTCAAATACTGTCACTATTGAAAGAGAGTGAAAATATTTGCACTCTTAAATGAGAGTGGCAGATTTTTACTCTTTTTTTTTTGGAGTGAGATTTCATACTTTTGGAATGGGATTTAACTCCAAAAAGGAGTGACATTTCTTTCTTTCGAGAATAGAATCTCACTCTAAAAAAAAAAAAAATGAAAATCTGCCACTCTTATTCAAAAATACAAATATTTTAATTTTTTTTCAATATAATGACAGTATTTTTATTCTTTTAAGGTGAGATTTTATTTCAAGAAATTTATAAAAAGTAATATAACGTAAACATCCAGTGATCGGACTTTACTTGCATAAAATTTATTATTATTATTCTCAAATGCTTTTTTTATTGTGATTATAATTTATTATAATTTAATTATATTTAAAGATTACAATTAAATTATTATAACATTTATATTTAAAAAAGTATTTGAGATGAATAATAATATAAATAAATATAAGGTTTTGTAAATGTGTCTGGATATAGGTACATACTTTGACTTTATTCTATTTTTAGATTCACTTTCAGAAAAAACGCTTTAAACGTTTACACATATAATTAACATATCCTTTTATTAAAAACGTTTTTTTTTCAAATGTAAGTATTTTAAGTCAGGATAGATATTAGAGTCTAGATATTATATATAACACAGGGTCCGGCAAAATGATCTCCCACATTTTAATCTTTAATAAAAACGCCATTGTAAATGCTATTTAGATTTTATTTTT